CCTGCTCCATCGCTTTAGGTAACAGGCACATACTGCTAGGGAGGATTTTTAAATAAAATGTATGCAATTACTGTGAATCCAAAACTATTGGCCTGGGCTGGGTTTCTTGAGCATTCTCAATTTTCCCCCACATAAATGTGTGAGTCATTCAAATTACACAAACTTCTTTATTTCCCTCTTTCAAAATTCATGGAAGTGGCTGCAGGTTGATAGACTTAAACAGAAGCTGACAGAACTGATTTCATCTCCAGCATGCATTTTTATTCAGTTAATGGGATTTCACTTCATCATATAAAAGAATGTCTATAGTATCCCTAATTAACTGACTCCTTAACCTCTGTCAACCAAGACCTAATTGAAAGACAAGGTGAGTCCGGTTTGACAGCCCAAGGGTGCCTCATGCAAGCGAAGTTCTTCATAAGACAAATGTAGAAATAATTATTTTAAAGTAAAGTCCATGCTGATAATATCACCAGAAGCAATTTCATCTATCTGGAGTCTACCGTATTAATATACTTGGAGTAAAAGGTGAAGTGATTATAATTACTCTACAAATTCTTACCAACAAGTAAATGATACATTAGGGGTAACTGTGATTTTTCTGAATAGACAAATGGCTCTACTACAAAGTCCCTCCTTTAATTTTGATCGTTATTTACTCCAGTATTGAATATTGTATAAGGAATCTCATGAAGGAAGATGTCAGTTATCTTTTAGCCTCAGTATTTTGAGAACACTAAGAATTTGTCCTGTTTTTATTCCCACTGTTAATTGCAAAGCTAGAAGGACGGATGGCAAGCAGTAACATCTAGGTTCTTTAGCTATTTTTGCTTTTATGGTCAGTGAGTTTTTTGCTAGAGACTTGTGTTTCTCTGGATCTTTCTAAGTACCACCGTTATTTATTCTAATTATATTGCCTCTGCCTCACTTCTTTCAGAAAATGTAGAATGCATTTGGGGAATCACAGCCTGTGTCTATTTAATTACAAAGGGATTTATCGCATATATCTAGCTATACAATTAGGTAATGTATTAATAATGAGAGTGATAATATTACCTAACATTTACGGAGAACTTACTAGTTACCAGGCACCATTAAAAGCATTTTACATATTTGCTACCTTTACTCTAACTTTACAAACAAAATCAAGGCACAGAGAGCTTAATCCATGTGGTTAAACAGCTAGTCAGAAGAGGAATTAAGATTTTTGATAGTCTGACTTTGCAGCCTAAGCAATGAAAAATATAACAGAAGATTCAAGAAATGGGGTTTCTGGTTAACTGAATTCCCTTGATAACAGTTAAACTAATACCATTTTTCCACACTGATGGCATTTGAAAACAATATCTAACATGTTTTTATTTTTGCTTATATGACTTCTGAAAACAATTTAAATTTGGGATCAATGTTATAAAATTTAATTTGGCTTAGATTCATAGATCTATAAGAAGTAATAGGCATTGTCATGATTATTAAAATATTTTGTGTATTAAAAACCTAAATGAGCCATGATTCAACACTTTCTATTAAAAGCTGAGATTGAGGGTGGAATGAGTGGTTAATTATGGTAATTAGACAGCACAGTCTGTATAGGTTTTACCTTCCTTACCACCTACTCCAGCCTGAATTTTTGAAGTGATTGTTACAAAACCACACCTGGAGATGGGTTGGTGAAAGGTGAACCCCTTGATAGCGCAATCCACAGCTCATTCATCTTTGTCAAATAGTATTTGCCAAATAGTATTTAACTGAGAGTAGATGCTCCAAAAATTGTGATGTTTAAATTATTTTCAATCAACCCAGAGCAAGCTACTGAACTGACGCTGGTGAGTTCCCAGGCTAGCTTACAAAGACTTTAACAACTGCGGAGGTAAATTGTATTAGCCTGTATCCTGCTTTTGAATGGGGTGGGCTGGGAGGTGAGAACTTAAGAGCTGAAAGGACAAGGATGACTGAAGTTTCTTCTAGAAAAAAACAGTTGAAGGAAAACGGAGTTAAATGAAGACTGCCTTTGTTTTAAATCTTTTTCTTAAGGTAATACTCTGTCACTCTCTCTGGCTTCTTTTCCTCTTCTGCCCTCCACACCGGGGGCCTGGTTTTAGAGAGTAAGTTGAAACTGGCATTTAGAAAATAAAATATTATTAATCATACTTAATGTTCAATGATGGAGTGTCTAGCATTGGACAGAGAATTCTTTCCTGGGAGAGTCCCTTCCAAGGCTGAGCGTCCCTTAGTGGTTTTTGTTTATCACACTTTTTCTTTTCTACTTTTTTTTTTTGCTTATGAATGCACATTTTTCATATTACTCCCTTTATTTTTACATGGTTTTTCATGACTTTGGTGAAGAGAAGTAAGTCATTTGTAACTATAAGACATATTAAAGTGAGGAATGGCCTGTATTCTTCACTGTCAAGTTAAAAACCAGGAAATTATGGAATCATATATTATCTGGCAATCACACCTACAATATGATCTTATATGAATACAGCATATGCCTCCATAAATGTCCATATTTTAATATACATAGAGAATAACAAACTACATAGAAAATATTGATAATTTTTTAGACTATTTTTTGAATTCTGGATGTTTGATGGCTATAGCCATTGCCACAATTTCCAACAGGAACTAAGATTAAACAACTCATATAAAAATTGACATAAATTTGTGCATGATTTGTCTTTAGACTAAACCATATTACATTACTCAAAGATGAAAATACATTTTAGATATTACAGTTGGTATTTTTAAATTGGGTCATTGTCAACTAGCACATTTCTGTATTTTACTTACATGAATGAGTATGAATTTCTTCACTATTTTAAAAAACACATTGCAGTAATGTCAATGTTATTAAAGAAGTGAGTTTTCAAGCAAATTAATTTATACAGCATCAATTGTGCCTTTACTCTTAAACTTATTGAAATGTAGGACTCTTATCCTCATATTTTTGTTGTTTTACATTTCAGTGTGAAGCCTCTTGGGCCAAATCCTGCCTGATGAGAACATCCTACTGCTGGGAGTGGCTGTCAGATGAGGATTCTGATGTGGAAGTAGAGTGGCTCTGGAAGCTGTCATGGGGAATCTAAATAGTCTGGTTGTTGCTTATATGGAATCATAAGCTCCTTAAAGGAAAGAATAGTGGATAAATATCTTTTTCTCCACAGGTACTTGCACATTGCCTAGATAAAGCCAAAGTTTACTTAAATTTGCTGGAAGGAGATGTCAACTCCAGTTACAGACCCGTGACTGACAGGTTTTTGTCTTCTCACAGTAATCTTTGCACGTGTGGTGCAAGTTTCCATTTTTCCTCCTTCACTGGATGAATCACTGTTGGGGAAGTTAGTGTCCTCCGACCAAGACTCCATATTCCAAATTAGAGAAGCTAGGCACTCAGCCCGCTGGTGCTGAGTTCACTGTGTACTTTCCCTCTACTCTAAAATCAGCAGCATTTGTCTCTTCTGTTTTGGCTTTATGCATACCAAAGGCTTTGGAGCTGCCCGCATTCTTCAATTCAGTATTTTCCTCCTTATTCTACCTCTTTTGAGGTCGATCAGGCCAAATGAGGTAAGTATAAGGAGAAAATCAGTCATCTGAAGAAGGTACAAAATGAAAAATGAAAAAGCAACAACCGCCTCCTGGTAATTTACTTTGATGTCAGTTGGGTCAGGCTGTTTAAAATATGACCTTTTATTACAAATCCAGAGTAGGGCATTATTAACATTTAGATTACAACAACCTATTCTCTTGGTGATGAACCTTACATCAACATACAACCTACTGGTTTTTTGTTTTTTGTTTTTCCTGAGGGAAAACAGAACAAACGATTATTTCACATGGGGAAACATTTTACATCAATCTTTAATTATATTTTGGAAAACTACTTGTCAAAATTTGAAATAATGTTTTAATTTTATAGTTCACATTTGATGAAAACTAATGTACAATATACCTAAAAATTAAACAGCTTGCTTTTGGTAACCTTAATGTTAGATCCTCATTTATTCTTTTGGACAACAAATATTTAATGAATGTCCATCAAGTTCCAAACAATGTGTTGGATACAAGCTGATTAAATCTGACTGAATTATCTAATCCTTCCTTTAAATAAATAAAATGATTTTTATTATATAAATTATTTCCAGTATACATATATTTCTGTTTTGTTTGCTTCTTTTTATCTGGAAGAAGCCTATAATGTACACTAAAATAGGATTTCATTATTTTATTTGTAGGAAGTTTTATTTGTAAATCACTGTTCTACTTCTCATATTTGATATGAAAATAAAATTCAAACAAAATTTTTCTAATGAAATAAATATCTTTTGCTATAATGGGACATTTCTAATTTCTAATTTGCATTGGGGAATGCTAGATTATGTAAACTTGGATAATTTTATACATTTGCTTACACATTTATATAAACTATCAGAAAATTCTAAAAGTTGAGGCTCCAAAAGATAGAAGTTGGTACTCCCTAACATGGCACCCTAGAATGGAGGTGAAGTTCCTATGAGTAGTCTTCGAGGAAAAGTTCATGGAAACTGTGTATTCTCTTTCAATTCCATTTTACATAAACTTTTTTGAAGTCCTCTCAAATTTCCTTTTCCTGTAAAAGGGCTGCTTATTCGATAGGAATACGCATGTGAGCTCCATTTCCAAGACTTTTAAACTGGGGTTGGAGCAAGCTGGTGGCAGCTGTTCTGACCTGTGTAGGGAGAGTGGCTAAGTGAGAGCATTTTTAGTCCAATCAACAACCTGCAACTAAGCAGGATTTCTCTTTGGGGACAATTTTCTAAATCTGAAAACAAAGCAAGAGTGTATACTTTAAATTTTTATCATTCTTACATAGAAACTGAAGTTAACAATCAGAATTTTCCTGTCAGTGGATTTTTATTAATGAAGTCTGCAAACAATGATATGCAACAGTATGGATTCTTGGGTGCTAATTACTACATTCTACTAATTGAATACATTCTTAGCAATTGCATAAAAGCATTATTTTGTGAAGCTGGAAATAAGACACAGATGAAATGAAGAAAAAACTGAGTTGCTCTTGTTTTCGCAGCCTTCTCATTTCATTATTTGATTCATTTATGGAGGGCAAAAGATATCTAGGTTAAAAGATTATCTTTGATTTGTTGTTTAATAGAAACCTGATAGTTTTCAATGGAGAAAACGTTCGGGCAGACATTCTAAATAGGTCTTGACATTGCTAGGTTGTTGCTGCTTCTTAAGAATGTTTGGTAGAAGTTCTGGCCATTATGGTAAAAAAAAAATAAAATAAAATAAAAACAAAAAAACAAGACAGACTTACCCTCTCTGTCTCTCTCTGGTCTAAATTTCTCATCCAGAAATTTGCACCCCTTTCAGCTTTCCGAGAAATAGAGGTTCACAGCCTCTTCAAAGCAGAGATTTTCACTGGCTGTTTTCATTAGAATTGTTACCGTGGCATCAAATTGTTAACAGTTGCAAATATTTTTGCTTTGACAGTAATTGCATACTTAAGTTTGTGAAGGGACTGAATTAGCAATTTAACTGGTAGTAGTAGAACCAAATCTGAAGTCTCCCAGCAGATGCACCTATTACTTTACATACTGTTTACCCGCTTTTGGTGACATTGAGGCTAACCTTGGAGTCACCTCCCCCGCTGCCACATTCTCCTTTGTCGTACCACCATTTGTTTTTCAATTTGTCCAAGAGGCCTTGTTCATTCAGTTTTAAAACTGCGAGGTTAACAGCATTTCTTGAAACGATAAAACATATTTTGTAAGAAACTGTACAGCTGTTAAGATGTTAGAAGGAATGAGGACTTAAGCTCGTTTATAAGCTTCTCCCAGACGCTAAATAAACCTCTCATTTTGCCATCCTGCAGTCTCTTCCACCGGAGTCCAAACCAAGGGCAATTGTAACTAATTTCAAATGTATTAAACATGCGGCATTTGGTGCTGTTCATTTTCACACTCTGTTTATTGTCACATAACTTATCACCAACCAGTCACACAGATTTTTTTTTTTTTGCAAAGCAGTAATAAACTTGAATTTCCGAGTAACTGAGAAAGAATTGTGTTTTGAATTTCTTTGTCTCTAAGAATGTCAAAGAACCCAAAGAGAACAAAATGAAAATTCACTTCCATAAGGAAAAACAAAATGGCATAAAAAAACCCAACAAATCATCCACTAATTTTTGTGGACTGATTCCCTGCTAATCAAGAGTATAGCTTGATTGTTACTTCCTTTATTATTTGTGTGGGTTTCCTTTGTTCATTTAGTTAGTCTTGAAATCTGTGATTACCAGGTTGGTTCATTCTCATGTGCTGAAAGATATAGGATAGTAAAGAGATAGTAGCAGCTCCTACAGATAAGTTCCTACATCTAAATTTTGTGTTGATTCTTACAGGCATTGGATGCTATTTAGAAATTAGGAATGCATATCCAATTTGATTATCTAAATTAAGTCATTAAACCCCAGGAAGTCATGCTGCATGTGATGCAGACTGCAAGTACTCTAGATTAGATTTTCTCCATGTTATCTCTATAGGGGAAAAGGAGCAGCATATTCTAATTACTTTCTAAGAGGATTTAAAAAATGTCATGGACTTTTGCTTCCCATATATTTGATTTCTTCCCTGCTTTCAAGTTAGTTTTTCAACAACTCACTAATTTTTTCAAGAGGTTTTTCCAGCAGTTAATGAAGCTTCTGTTAAATCTAAGGAGTGGTTTATAAATTGAGGGAATTTGGGTACAGTTTGTGGTATGCTCTTTGAGAAACACTGAGTTCGCTGATTTCTTAATGCCAAAGGAATTATAGATAAACTGAAGCAAAATAGCCATATTAAAACAGTATGATTTGCAAGGGAAATGTCACTTAGCTAACAAAAAGCGTTACCTAATTTACCACTAAGTTGTGGTTTACAGTAGTTATTCTCTTAAAATGTGCTCATATTTTAAGTAAACAGTTTTCTTTTCCACAATTGTTATGGTCTGATCCACTTGGAGCGTAAACACTTCTTTTAAGTAGACCCACACTTTGAGAGAATTAACTTTTTTATGAGTTACTTTTAATTAAATAGCTAGCTTTTTCCACATTCCCTAGTAAGTGCCACATCAGTGGTGTAAAAGTTAATATTTTCCTAAAGGGAACAATATTAGGTTGTCAGCTTTTATCACCAAAAGGACCAGACTAGAAAACAGAAACAAATAAAACCTCAGTGAATATAAAGAAATTTAAGCATTCTGTCGAAAGAAATGAATTATTTAATTTTGTTTCAACAATAAACTAAATAAATTTAGCTTTTAATGAACTAAAACTGACTACTAAAATTTTCTATTTTGGAGAAAATTATTTTTATAATTCACTTTATTTTAGCTTCAAGATTTCATAGTGTTTTTTTTTTTAACAAGTGGTATACCAATTATTTTATATGTTGGTTTAGACCATTCCTTTGATAAAACCAAAACCATTTCATGAGAGGGTTATTTAACAGGGTTTCGAGTATTAGCCATACCCAGACAGTTTCACAGCACAATAGAAAACAAAAAAAGCAAAATAAAGGTATGGATAAGGAAAAAAAGCTTTATGTTGAGAAAACTGAATCAAGCTTTCTACAAAATTATTCTAAGACATTGTCTTACTAATATCATCTAATAGGCCATGTAAAAACAGTTTAGTTTCACACTGCTATCCATATATGTGTCTCTCTAGGTATTTGTCTTATATTATGCGTCTGGTCAATAGATAAATCACTGCCCAGTTCACAATCCACATGTCTTCCAGAAGCTTGTTCCTCCATAAAGACCACTTAATAGCATCATAATGAAACATAGAAGACATTTTGTGATTGATACTTGAAGTGAAGTCTTTAGTATTTCAAGATTTCTTTGCATGTTAAAAATGCTTGTTATTTTTTACAATTGTCTGACAATTCCTTATATAGTACGTGTAAGTCCAAAGCCTCCTCAGACTGCAATTCAAGTGCAGCATAAACCACTTATCTAATGACCATTTGGTCATGTGTTCTATTTTACAGAGTGAATTATTTTTATGTGGTATTATTAATAAGAATTGCAAAATATCCTTAAAATATATGTATACTACTAGGTTAAAATATTTTTTATCCAATCATAAAGAAAAAGAAACCTGAAGGAGTGATATTAACAGAGCTAAGCAAATCATAAGTCAGGGCAATAGGGGACTTGGGAAGCAGATTCTTGATGGAGCGCATTTTATTATTGCATTGGAATCCCCTTCACATATTTCAGACATTGACTTCATAAGCAATGTAAGAAACTGATATTGATTGTAAGGAATATTCTCACCCTGATTAAGCATTAGGGGAGATAAGCAGTGATCTCCCAAGCAGATAAGAGAGAAAAGAAAAATGTTGTGGGCCACTTTTTACATTAATTATTCCGCTCATTGCATTAAATGAAGTTTCTAAAAAGTAAAGTCAACTGAAATGAACTCTTTTTCCATTAAAAAATCAAAGGGGAGAGGAAACAACAGTGAGTGATCATATTCTTGCTGGCTGTGTAAAGAACATTGGAGAACCCAGATGTGTTGACAATGGACTCTGACAGACTGCAATACTACCCAGGAAACATACTTATTTGCCCTTGCCTCTCATGCCTTTGGGGAACACCAGCCAAGAAAAACCTCCTTCCAAAGAGTTGTTTTCCTAGCGGTGAGATGAGGGGGAACTTGATTCAGGGCTAAAACCTAAATGTTCACCTGGTAAAATTCTAGGACCTCTGGAAGCTTCCAGGGATATTTACTCCCAGAATTTCCTTCAATCAAGTTTAATATGAAGAAAATAAATACTTCATTGCATTAGCACACAGCACCCATGTTTACTAACAAAACTCTTGTTGAAGTGCCACATAAAACAAAAGTTCTAGAGACTAACATATGTAAACTTTTTTCATTTATTAATTGTGGGTAAGCTAACTTAGAGAAAAGTAAATTTTTCTTATAAAAAGCATGTTTAATACAGGCTGAACCATTTAGCTCTTATCCCCTAACCTTGCATACATAATTTATCATCTACTTCTATAAATTTGGATATGCTTTTGTGCTTTACTTTATGTCTTACTTGTTATATTTAGTGCTAAACCATATTTCTTGTAGTCTAATTTCTCTGTTGTTAAGATATTGTTATAAATGATGTCTATCTAAGTAAGTGGGTCAAATTTTAAAAGCTTAAGTTCAGTAAAGTTTTGTATTTTTATGATTTCCTAGATTTGTGGATGTTATAAAGGACTAATGATACAAACCTTTAGATTTAGTCAACATCTGCACACAGGATATGCAGGGCAAGTATAGTTTGCAGAAAGAATTTGCAATGTTGTTTTTAGTTTGATTAAAACAAATTATATCCCATTGCACTTAACTGGATGAATATTATATGTCAGTAGTGTATGAAGCAATACAATGTATTGCTTAACTGCTGAGTAATGGGGCTAGTGCATTACTATCCTCATAAAAAAGTATCCATTAGTTATATACACTTGAAAAATTCTACTCAGTTGTAAGCTTGTGCTGTCTTTATTGGGATATTCTTCACACCATGCTCCTTATAAAAATGTATATGCATATGTAAATATATTTTATATGTGAATATATAATATCTAAATATATGTGCATATATATAAAATGTGTAAAATATGTATCAGGTGTAAAATGTCCAGAATATTTACCTGAATAGGTGGATTTTTTAATTGTCCTCAATAAATACTATTTTCTAAAAACATAAAAAATTGTGTGAACTAAGACTAAATTGTGTAAAGAAACAAGAAAATTCCTTTAAAATTAGCAAAAACCTTGACAGGTAATTTATACTTTTGATGTTAAATACTTTGGATGTTAAATGAAAAAAATAAATAATATGCACATTCATTTGGATCTTGATCTGAGAATAAGCTATGTATATTTAATATAAATGAATATAAAACATAATAAGTCACTATGGGGAGATTATGAATAATTTGGGTTCCATTTTGTTCTTTATATTCCCCCATCAATTCAAGATTCCCTATAATGTACAATGATACTTTGCTAATTAGCAACAGATGAAAAATCTTTCTCAATTATTGTATAATATAAATATCTTATAGAGTTGCTAATTCAGGGAGCCAGATATGTGGCACAGTAGGTTCAGCCACCACCTGCAATGCCAGAATCCCATATGGGCAATGGTTGGTGTCCCAGCTGCTCTGCTTCTGATCCAACTCCATGTTAGTGTGCCTGGGAAAGCAGCAAAAGATGGCCCAAGTATTTGGGTCCCTGCCTCCCACATGGGAGACCTAGAGGAAGTTCCAGACTTTGTCCTGGCCCAGTCCTGGCTGTTGCGGCCATTTGAGGAGTGAACCAACTGATGGTAGATCTCTCTCTCTTTATGACTCTGCCTTTCACATAAATAAATAAATCTTTAAACAATTGTTTATTAAATCCAAAATATATATTCTACGTTGGATGAAATACAATTTGAGGAAGAGGCAGAATCTAGAAGTTATTCTTAGGGATCAGAGAGACATCATTGTTTCTGATTATTTGGATTGCTTTGGTCCATTTGGTTTTGTCCTCTGGTCACAGGCTGGAGAACATGTGCTGTATTTGGCTCCTACACAGGTTCTGTCTTACTTGAGGGAACAGGTCAGGCAGAGAAGCATGAGTAACGCATCAATTAGAAGGTCTAACTCATCAGATAGAACTTGCAGGAAGTTTATAGAACTCTCAGTGATCTAGAGAGGAAACTTACTGTTTCACACATATTTACATAGATAAGGTGAGTCTTTTTCCCAGATTGCATTAAATAAATGTGACTATGAATAGTCTTGAGTCCTCTTAAATGGTACATTTTTAAAGAAAAGTTTGTATATAGCTTTGTGCTTTTTAAAAAGGATTCCATTGCTGGCAACTATGTTGTTTTTCAAACAAGTATTAGAGACCTTAAGAAAAGTCATTTTTGGATTTTTTGCAAGAATAGAAAAATATTATTTTTTAATCTTCCACAATACTACATATTTACTATATCATTTTCTTAGAATCAAGCAAATTCCAGATTGGAAAATTCATTTGCTTTAAACTTTATGTCATCCTAATAAATAATACTTTCATGAAAAATAAGAAATAACTCTCATTCCATTATTCAGTGATAGCTGCATTTTCAGTATTGTCACAAGAGTTGCATGCATGAAAGTTTGTTCCACCTAAGATGAGATAGGTAGAGAGGAACAAATATCATAGGGATTTGCTTTTTGTAATTTAGTTAATGTCTTCCAGATAATGGTGAATAGAGCACATTAGCAAAAGGAAACAAGAATTTACAACAAACTCCAGAACTTTGTGTAAAGCCAATTAATAATCTGCTGAGAAAAATACTTATTTTATCAATCAGAAAAAATATGAAAAGTAAATAAAAATCAATAGGCTGTCAAATTATAAAGAGTTCAGAGCTGAGTTTGTCTGATCCTAAAGAAAGACATTTGCATTCATGGTTCTACCTTCTATCTGCTATTTAGGCCTGGAAGAGTAACCAGTTCTCAGCATTATCAATGCTCCACTAAGTTTTCAATTTAACTTGTAGCCATGCTATTACTTTTCTTTCTAAATTATTCCTTCCAGTAGACAAGCACAAGGCTCTTTTTGCTCCATTGGATTTGAGCACTCATTTCCAGTGGCAGAATTTGGGCTAAATTGCTCTCTCTCTTTATATATGTAAAAGTTTTTGGAAAAGGTATTAAGTTTTCACTCCATTTTGCTAATGCAATTGTAAGATTTGCATAAAATGGCACTGGTGATCGATAACAATATCAAACTTCGAAGGGAAAAATTTTCTGTAAGTGGAAAGAAATTCAGATACAGCTTGATTCATAATGAGAATCTGAAAACCCCTTTGATGGATTTAGTGTCTGCTTCAGGATTTGGATGGCATGCCTGCTATTAAGTTAGTATGGAGGTCTGCATTTCATATCTCAAGTGAGCAAGGAGAACTGAATAAATTCACTATGTACTGGACTAGCTTCCACTAATTGTCTCTAAGCTGCATCTTCTTTGGAAATTCCATGACAAATTCCTATTTGCGAACTGGGTCTGAGGAATGTGATTATTTGAAGAAGTATTGTAATTTTCCTGAGGATATCTGCCAATAATTGTTAAAGCATGGAAAATGTAATTATATTTTAATGTTAAGTGTTTTTTAGGTAATACAAATACTTCAGGCAATTTGGTTTTATTATTTTATCAATTTTAGATCATAGACAAGAATTTTCTAACCTGTTTTGGATAATAGACCTCTTTTAGAATCCAATAAAAATTACAGTTACTTTTTCAGGAGAAAGGCACAAATACACAAAATTACAGATTGGCATATAATTTCTGGGGATTCTTAGACCTTAGAGGGGCAAACGTGAATATGAATTAAAAAAAATTTGTTCTAGATTCTACATTTATTTTAAAATTAATTACTGATTATTTTAAGTATATTCATTAAAGGTAAGAGAAATGAAAACATTTCTGAAGGCATGATGGCTCCAGAATTTTCATAGAGAACTCTTAAGACTGCGAATTGGTGAGAAGAGACTTCCAAGATACCAGCTTCAATGTGTGATCATTCTGCAAACACATCCTGTGTAAAACCTTTTAGAAGACCATGTAAAATCAATAAAGAATTTATCTACATAGTCAAAAGATACTTTTAATTATTATTATATAATACTATGTTGGGGAAATATCAATTATTCATATTAAATAAATTATTTAATTTATATGTGGTGACCTTTTGGGGTCCTGTTTTCAAATGTATGAGGTGAAATTCCTGCTCCAAGCCACCTCCTTCTTGTTGTCACTATCTCTGATCAAGTCATATAAAAGTTAGCCTTGTTTCAAGATGAGACCACAGCTACCTAGAATGTGAAGTTCTTTAGTTTATGTGGTATCTCTGAATGTTAGTCATTTTTCAAGTTATTATTCTCAAGTATAATTTCAATAATATAGGAACTGGTTGCCATCATGCTCCCAGCCTGGAATTGTGCAACAATGCTGGGCCTGTCAAGCAGGTGCCTTGGCTGGACCATCAGGCACTTGGTGGACTCAGTCCCATCCCTGACTGGATTCCTGCATCATCTAGACCATGATGCTTATTCTCCTTCTACCAGTTCCAGAATTCTAAGCCATTCCACGGATCATGTTTACTTTTCCATCATGTTAGCTTCTAAAGATGTTTACCGATTGCTTTAAAAGTAAAGCATCCTAGAATGTTTCAGTGAAAACGTGGGTTAGAAATCACCTTAAATCTTCTCCTTTTCCAGATGTGGTCACTGGGCCTAATGAAAGTTAGGTGACTTGTCCATCAAGCCCAGCTGGCAGCAGGTCTTCTGCCTTCTGGTCCAGTGCTCTTTCCCATAGTGCTATAATACACTTTACTTCCTTTCAGTCCCTTTCCTGAGTAGTTAAAAGTGTTATTCATCCCTCCTATGTTGTTTTTCCCAAGAAGTTTGTCAAGTCTGGCAGGGATTATCCCTCATTAAGCTTTGTGAACCCTCTCACTCATGTATTACCTGTTTAAGTCAGTTGGCAACTTCTATTCTCTCATGCTAAATATCCCTTGAGTTGAGATAAAATTTGAAAGACAGGTGATCTTGTTAACTGAATGGATAGTTTCCAAATATCCAAGAATGAAGTGCAGTAGATAGTTTTCTTCAAAAAGCAATATCAATAATGTATATGCTGTCTTGATTTACCTAGATGATGATATTTATTTTCTCTCAAGGTGACGGATTTCTACTTTAATATACATGGAATTCTTAATGATTTTAGCTTTAATATTTTAAGGTATATGATCTTGAATCCCCAACAAGAGCATCACAAGAAAGTTCCAGAATAGCATATCAGAAACTTTTACATAGAAATAATAAAACTTTGAAAACAAATTATAAAATAACAAGACTTGGCCGGCGCCATGGCTCACTAGGCTAATCCTCCGCCTTGTGGCGCCGGCACACCGGGTTCTAGTCCCGGTCAGGGCGCCGGATTCTGTCCCGGTTGCCCCTCTTCCAGGCCAGCTCTCTGCTATGGCCAGGGAGTGCAGTGGAGGATGGCCCAGGTGCTTGGGCCCTGCACCCCATGGGAGACCAGGAAAAGCACCTGGCTCCTGGCTCCTGCCATCGGATCAGCGCGGTGCGCCGGCTGCAGCGCGCCGGCCGCGGTGGCCACTGGAGGGTGAACAAACGGCAAAGGAAGACCTTTCTCTCTGTCTCTCTCTCTCACTGTCCACTCTGCCTGTCAAAAAATAAAATAAAATAAAAATAATAATAATAATGCTTAAAAAAAAAAACAAGACTCAACCAGAAAAACTCAATCTCATCCTTGAATTTTCCTTTCCTTTAACAAATTACCCCTAAATAACTTTTTTTGAATAATGTCTCCCAAGTTTATATTTTCGTTTCTATTCTACTGGCATCACATCAGTTAAAGTTTTTATCTCCAGAAGACAGAGTTACTGGCTATCACCCTGTTCTTTGCTACTCAGAGTAACCTTGCTTCTTGCTGGTTTATAGCGCATGGCAGGAGCCTTCTTGATTCACGACTGCCTCTGAGACATCATTCTAACTTTTCAGACATTCAAGGCTGAAATCACATCAACTCACTTTGCACTTCTAAAAGTGAAATTTCACTATGTTTTATTGTGGTAGACATCATGTCAAGATGTTAATATTCTCTGTGAACTCTGTTAAAATTCTCACTGGGGACTACTCTGCATTTTGTGAAAGAAGAAAGTAAGGCCTCAAGTTGCCAGGCCAGTGAATGGCAAAGGTGGATCTGCAGTTAGACCTGAGTTAGACCTGCAGCTGGGCTCAGTTAGACCTGAGTCGGTCTACCACTGATGTCTATTCAGCACCAAAGATACTTTATTCACAACTGACTGCAAACTCATGATAGAAAATTCACTTGGAGTTCCTTTTTTCACCTCATCTTGGCCTTGGTAAATTTCTTATTTTCCGGTAATCATTCACTGATTTATTCATTCAAATAATATTTATAAACCTGATAAACTCGAACCTTCTTAATGAGGTCTTTCCCAGATTCTCCAAATCCTATTTATCTCCTGCTTTTGCAAGTATAACATCTCCTATCTGAAGCACTCATATTTGCTTTGAGTTATTTGACACTTTACAAAGTTATCTGTATATAGCTTTTTTCCCATCTTGGAAGTTATCAACTATGTCTTATGAATGATAATTTTTATTATTCTCAGTCCTAACACAGGGAGAGAAATACAGTTGCTATGTGGTAACCACATGTAGTATTGATATCACAGTGAATTAGTTTGAGGTGCTATTTTGTAAGCAATGCATTCTAGTGAAAAAAATAGCATGCTTTAGCTATGAACCTAACAGAAATGCCATGGTGTGCATTTTAAAACAAAATAAAACAAATAGTTCAAAAATATTAAATGTTGGTAAGAGGGATATAAAATATTGATACTGGATATCTTTATGAATAATGACAGGCAAAATTAGGTTCATTGTATGAATAATATAATCTCAGAAGGTATTTCCATGAGATCATAAACGGTTAAAATAAAGGGGTCACCAATTCTCTTTGTATAGCCAGACAAGGAAAGAACACTAAATGAAAAAAAAAAAAGTTCAACTTTGTTGTTAATATCAAGGAAAATATATTCCAAACTAAACTTAAAGATGAAAATCCCAGACAATTAGGTTTTTATAGGTCAATTTTAAACAAATTAAATTTAACAAATAAGACTTATTGCCTTTAGATATATTTCTTCTGTTATTGAATTTGTAATTCAGCTCAATTAGAAAGTAAAAATCACATTTATTATCATCACATACTAAATGTCAACTCTATGGTTTAATTTGATTTATTTACCATATATTTTAATAGGCATTCAACTGATTTGATAGGTTTAGTTAAACTTCATACACAAATATTTTAGATTTGCTATCAAGTGCCTGATAGTAAAAAAAAATCACAGCTTCAAATTTCTTCTCGTATTTAAGGTTTCAGGTTCTTTAGTAGTAGGCCAATATTTGCATGTTACTTTTATGATCTTATTTCACCTATCTTATTTTTAGCATGCATTTTGGTTAGGTAGAAGAACAATACAAATAGAAAAAGGAACTTAATTGATAAAAAAAATAGTGCTTCTTATAGAAGCAGGGATAATAAACTAATAGTGCTTATAGAAATATAGATTACAAGCTCCATCAAAGTTCAAGACTACATAGGGAGCTCATAACCAGGAGACCACGCGGCTTTTCTGTTATCCTGAAAATGGCTGATGCCTAAGAATTCTAAGCTCTTAGATCTCTAAAGGTTTTAAGTTTATGATTTCTAAGTGAAGACATAAAGCTGCTTATCTTTGAGAGCAACAGGGCTCATATTAATTCAAAACATGTATACTACAGTTCATTTATTTTATTAAACAACTCAGAAAAAAAGTTTAAAGTCTTAAAACAATCTAACCAATGTATGCTTCTGTTGGTGTTAATGCTAAAACATATCATATTGTCTTTCAGTTACATGTTCTTTATCAGAAGTTCAGTATGTCTTATGTTACCAATTGGGATACTTCTGTGAGGTATTTTTAATATGCCTAATAAATTGAGTGACATTAATAGAAAAATCAATATTTTTCACTTTGCTAAGCAACAAAACTAAAAAAAAAGTTAGCTTCTCAATTTTAGGTTATCCAAAGAGCTAAGTAATCATAGAACTACCACCAAGTCTCTCCATTAATGACATCACAATTATATATTTCATAAAAATTCAAAGTATACAGCAAATCTTCTGACATAACTAATGTGTATGTAGATATCAAATTCTAAGTAGTACTAACATAAACAGTACTAACACTAAAATATTGTGACAATTTTGCTTATTTCATGTGATTGCTTAAGCAGACATTCCATATACCTGACATTTTAAAATCCAGGAATGAATAAATCAGGAATGCATAATGCGATTCAAATATATCCTGGGCTTTTTACTAAAAGAGTCAGTGAGTAAGTCAAAACTAAGTTTTATCTGATAATATGACAACAAAAATGTGTATGTGCTAAAAGTTCAATTCTTAGGTTTCTGGATTTGTTGAGTATTGCAATATGACTATATAAATAGCATGCTTCGGTATTAAAGTCAAATTCTTATTTTGCATGTGTCCTTTCCTGTATGTTCCTAATTGCATGATTACTATTATTCCTGCCAAAGAGACTAGTCTTGAACAAAAATATATCCCAACATTGCAACTTTAAGGTTTTTCCAGGCTTCTACACATTTGAAAGAAAATGGCAGAAGGGGGCCGGGGCTGAGGTGTAGCAGGTGAAGCCACTGCCTGCAGTGCCAGCATCCCATATGGGTGCCGGTTTGAGTCCTGGCAGCTCCACTTCTGATGGTTCTCTGCTATGGCCTGAGAAAGCAGTAGAAGATGGCCCACATCCTTGGGCCCCTGCACCTATGTGGGAGACCTGTAATAAGCTCTTGGTTCCTGGCTTCAGATTGGCGCAGCTCTGGCCATTGCAGTCAATTGGGGAGTGAACCAGGAAGACCTCTCTCTCTGCCTCTCCTTTTCTATCTGTGTAACTCTTTCAAAAAAGTAAATAAATCTTAAAAAAAAAGGATGCTGCCTCTTTTGACTTAAAAAAAAAGAGAATGGTAGGAGTATATTTCTGAAAGTTGATGACTATTTTCTTACAACAAATTGGCTGAAGCATTATTTTTTCTGTATACTTCTTCTCCCAAACTAACATATTCTTCTTGAGTCCAAGGGTCTCAGCTACCTGATATTAAGACTTCTTTTTTCAGTTAGAAACATTTTACTTATATTTTATGTACAATATTTATATTTTACCTATAAGATGCTTTGAAATATGGATATACATACTGACAATGAATCACTCACTCAAAGCATATTTGCAATAGACATTTGCTAATACATAGTGTGTCAGTGCTTCAAATTTTATTTTTCTGATTGTACCAAATGGAAAAGCTTGGGTAATGCTGAATTGGGGGAGTTCTTCAGCTGTCAGCTTCCTGCAAGTTGTGACCTCTCCTGAACTTGTTCAGCTCTCTCTGGGATCCCTTCCTCTGTGCCCTTGATAGCAGGAGTTTCGACAACCGCAGAGGATCTCTTGTGCCAGAGCTTTGAGCACTGGATACAGAACCAAGATTTTTCCAACATCTAATTAAGTCATACAACCTCTGGCCTCTTTGGAGGGCACTGATAAGAATTATTGCTGAACAGGATCTGGAAGCTAGTCCCTTTCATAATCCATATGGTCTATCTTTCTTATAAATTCTAGATGCCTTTCAAATTCTCTCACTTGTTCTGCTTGGGTTCTCAACTATGGAAGGACCAATTTAAAAGAATACCAAAGCTAGGGCATACTGATGTCCATGGACAGCAACATAAAAATGAGATGTTACATCAGAAACCATTAAAAGCAGAACCAAAGAGAGCTGGGTGTATAATCATGAAGAAACAATGTGTAAGAGAGTATTTCTTCCTTTTCCTTTTGTTTTTCTAACCACAGTTTTCATATGGTACTTTAATAATCTTACTAAGTCTATACTACTTCTTACCAAAAGTCCAGCTTTACCATATTTCAAAATATATACCATTAAAATTATATCAGCAGCTTATTAAAGCATTTCTTCATGACATATTTCTGTAGGAATGCTTTAGATTTAATTTCAATATTTTGTGACTTCTCACCCATTAGAATTTGATTTATAATAACTGCAGATATTCTGCATAAGGAGAAATTAGCAGCTGAAAACAATTTCCTGAGGCCTAGGTAGGAATCTCAATCTTAATGGAAAACTTGAACTAATCATTAATGATGATGGAAAACGTAAATGCATTAGCAAATAACTAGTATGACTTATGTAAAGGTTTTACTTTTTTTCCTGCTATCACATTTATAAGTGAATGTTCAAATAACTATTAGGCACGGATTGCAAGCTGGTTTCCTAATGCTGGTGGGTTAAAAAATATAAATGTAAAAAGGAAAAGGGATTAAAAAATTGGTGGGGGAGGGGTTTCCTTCAAACGGATGGAACCCATTCTTTTGAAAGAAAACTCCCCTCTTACCTTGGTCCTGGAGCTCGTTAGTTCTCCTCTGTCCTCCTCCTAGGGGAGAAATACCCAAAGTTAAACAATAATAGAACATGGTCTTGTATTAAAGTCAAGTTCAGTTCTGGCCAACCCCTTCCTTAGGTCTCACAAGACACTACCAACTGTCTGATATACTGGGGCTTTCACTGAACTTGTTTCAAAACCCATTTAAGGATTAAGCCAAAGGGGAATGAATGCTAGCTCTGCAAGAGGGAAATTCTGTCTTAGTTGGTCTGTTTTGTCAGAGAGCTCTAGGAAGATTGTCTTAGAGCAGGGAATTCACGGAAGGCCACTTGAGCACCTAGAGTTCCTTAGGGAGAAGGGGTTTGCTGTAGTGCTCAGTCGGTTTCCCTAATGCTCTTCATGTCCTTTGAGAGGAAAATGACAGTGCTCTATGCGACACCAGTTTTGGAGCAGTACTAAATCCGTTATGAACCATAATTATTGTAAAAAATTTAAAAATTAATGTGTCTTTGGGTGAGAAATTTAGGAAAAAGTCTGGGAAATAGTTATTATCAGAAACCATGCACTTATTTTTTTTTTCAAAACGTGGAATCTCAAGTAGGAAAAAGATGGGATTTTTTTGTTCTCCCTCAGTCCAAGAAATAATTAGGCCTGATCCTGCTTAACATTCAAGATCAGATGAGATTGGGAGCTTACTGGCTGATATGGCCATAGATGGATTTTTTTTTTCCTTCATGTGTTTCTGTTAAACTAGGACTCCAGATGTCTTTGGAGAGAAACAAAGTAGCACAGTGAAAGGAGTGTGGATTTGGGAATTAGACAGCAACTAGCTCCAATTCAACCTCTGTTTGATCTGTTTCAGCAGCATTAACTGTCCAGATGAAGATAACAGCACCAACTTCAAGGAGCTGTGGGTCAGGTTAGAAAAATGAGTACTTTGTAAATATATATGTGTGTATGTGTGTGTATGTATGCTTGGTACATAGTAATTACTAATTTTTTAATTCCTTTCCATTGAATAGTCTGATATAGTCTTGTTTGAAATACCTTATTCAATAACTTTCTAATTAACAAAGCTTAGAGTCGGATTCTTGTTACCCTTTGGCATAATTTCAGAGATGGTGGGTGAATGGCTCCCATTAAAAAAATCAAATACCAGACAATTGATTGCATTTCGTGAGACATGAAGGACAGTGGAGACCAAGAATGAGCCTGAACCCATACAAGATCATGTGCTATTGTTATTTAACTTTGGGTAACTTATTAAAATTCTTCATCAAGTAAAATGACATCAGGTGAGAAAATGGATGTACTTTGGAACCTCAGTTTGTCCCAATGTTTTCCAGAGACATCAAAATGAGGAATGTTATAATCGTCATTCTAATGGCTGTTATGAAAATGTGCAGGGAAAAAACACTATCTGGCAGAATCTATGTTATACATGATACCTTGTCTGCATCTGTTACTGTTACCATTTTTTTGGTGTTGGATTCATACTATGAACTTTAATAACCTCACAGTTTCATGATATAAACACAGCATAATAAAATTCTTCCAGTTACAACATGCATGTCTTCCCTGTATTTTTCCTTGGGAATTTTAACTTCATTCATTTTCCTTAAAGATTATTTTTACAATGACTATTTTGGCAAATCAGCCTTTTATCCTCTTAGCATACTAATTTCTAAAAAATATCCATAGAAAGAGACCATTCCTTTTTTCTTGAAAAAATACAATTGGAAATTTTAAAACTGCACTTAAAATGGAAAAAAGAACATATTATATGTTACCTTCATCCATAAAAGTCACTTATATGACAGAGCTTTGAAGGAAATATTTTTATATTGAGAAATTATTTGGGAATCCATGAATAAGAATAACTATAGGTATTCTGGCCAGTGTGAGTCAAATTACAGTGGTGTGCGATCTTCATGCTTCAGGGCATAAACTGACTGTCATTTGAGATGAAGAAAAAAATGAGAAAGAAATTAAGTAGTACTGAAGTTGTTAGGGTTATTGCAGTGCCCTAAAATTACCCTTCTCAAGCATTTCATATTGAAATACCACAAGACAACCTTACGTGTATCAATTTTTATCATCTAGATATGGAAACAGAAGTTTTACACTGCAAAAATCAAAATAAGTCCTTCTATGTGTGTGGGCTGTTTTATTTCTCCTTTTATATAATCTAGCGAATATTTGAACCTTGCCAAAAGTTTCATGTTGATATATTATTTTAAATGTACATATATCTAGGTGTACAAAACCTGTGTCTATCTGTGTAACTCTGCTGGTTTTTACGGAGAAGTGAATTCCTTAAATACCTTTCCGTTTCACATTGAGGACTGCAGTAGAAGAGGCTATTTACCAAAGAAGGGACTTCTTTAATTCCAAAACTGCATGAGCTTCTAAGACTGAATTTTCCTTCATTCTTATTATGTGTCTGCAATTTCCAAGAGAATGCTTAGTTGTTCTGTTAGATAGTCCAGTGCATGACTCCAAACCTGACCCTTGAAAGTGGGAAGGAATCCAGTTGTCAGGATCACATCTCTCTGAGATGTGAGATGCAAGGATCTTCTACTTTACTTCAACAAATGTGATATTCGGGATCTCACACCATTTTCTACATTTGGGGGGGAAGAGATTTAATTCTTGCCCAAACATTTTTTCTGCTGACCTAAAATCCACCTTTGTATAATTCCCTCTGCTCAGTAAGTTTATGTATTTTTAACATATTAAAAATTATGGAACTTAATTTCTCTGTAGATAATTTCAATATTCTGTGTATTTATCAATGTTGACAAAACTGCCCTGTGGAAGAATCACAGAAACTCCTTAATACATTTTCAGAGTAAATTGCATTTATATAAAAAAATTCCACTTTTGTTCTTTCCCATAAGAGCACTGGAATGAGTCAGAAGAGCTCAGTTCTAATGTCAGCTGTGGAACTGTGGGCAAGTCACTTAACATCTCTGAATAGCTGTCTTTCTTCATAATAAAATGACATCGTAAGAGCAAAGAGCAAGTAAAAAATATGTGTGAGTGGTTTGAAAAGTCTGACATTGTATTGTTACTTTTTTTTTCAGCTAAAGAACATAAGTTCAGTGATTTTTAGTGTTCTGTATGAACCAAATGCAAGCTTCATCTTTTAGGAGTGAACATATTTTTAAAAATTACATGTTAACTAATTCTTTGACTAATGCAGTATTATCATTATTATAGCACTTAATAGAAAACTTTTTTTTTTTGCTTATGATCTTTACTTTTTATTTGGTTAGGAGACAGTCTGACACCAGCTTTCTTGGGTTTTTTTTTTTTTTTTTTACTTCTATTTACATTTGACTAGCTTCAAATATAAGCCAAAGATTAGGGTGCTCCTTTAGGACTTTGGATGCTGGCTTCATCTTACTTTTTTAAGTCTTTAAAAATACTTTTTATGCTCCAGGCACCAACAAAGTAAGGCAGTTGTAATTGCTGATAATGTGTTTAAGATTTATGTATATGTGTGGTTCTAGTTGCAAACGCCTTAGAATAATGGCAACTAAGAGGGGGGGCAGATTCAGACTTCATGCTAATGCACACCCTGGGAGGTGACAGGTGATGTTTAAATGTTGGCTCCCTGCCACCACTTTGGTAGACCCAGATTAAGTTCCTGGCTCCTGGCTTTGCCCTGGCCCAAACCGGGCTGCTGTGGGCTTTTGAGGACAGAACCAATGGGTAGAGGATCTCTCTCTCCTTCTCCCCTTCTGTGTCTTTCAAACAAGTAAATAAATAAGTGAATAATTTAAAGGAAACTGCTTTCAATTATGAAAAGGACTTGTTTAAATCGAGGAGGATAATCAACATGTTCACAATATTCCCAATTTCTGTTATTTACAAAATGTTCTTATAAGCAATTTAATGCTTGTTTTTGAGAAGGTTTGAGGCCAGAGCAAATTATTTCAGAGAGCTGAATGCTTATCTTTTAATTCAGGTGTTTCTAGGTGTGACTGATAATGTATATTTGTGGCACAATTATCTCAGATGTATGCTGTTTCATTCTGAAAATAAGTTATAGAATTAACTCTCTGGGAAAACAAACACAAAATAATTGGGCTGTCATTTCTTATTCCAGCTAAATCAAAATGGAATATAATTCTAAAACAGAATCATTACTATTTCAAGCTCATTTTAAATGATTGCTAAACTATTTTATGTTCCTTTCTTATATATGAATCATAAGCTAGGATTATGTTGGTGACTTTATCTTTAGAGATAAAATGAAGTTAAAATGGTCTAAACTTGCAGATGAGTGGTATATAAGCTCTCCTGAAGCAAACAGCTGCATTTCCATTTTTGTCAAATAATGCTATTTAGGTATGATGTAGTAAGTAGATGTTTATTCTTAGTATAAAACTTCATTAAAGCAGCATTGTATCGAATTCTAACTTGAAGAATGGATTCTATCTCCACACCAAAGTGAGATTTATAGTATTTTATTATAGGCATTTTGGAATTTTATGGTAATCCAGATTACTATCTTTCCCTCTCAATGTATGTTTTGTGTGTCTAAAAATATTCTTTATGTATCTGATTATTGCAATAATAAAGAGCCCACTTTTCCCTCTCTTTTTCAGATCTTCTCCACTCTACTTCTAAACTCTTAGCTAAGAGGGCTCTTGGACAACAAGGAGTAGGAATCCACTGATGCATGATTATAGAACTTTGCTTCTTGACCTTCCCAAACTGTTCAGAGTTGTAAACATTACATAAGACCTATGAACTCTCAAAATGCTCATGATTCCTCCTTCTGCAGCTGCCTGTGATGCTGCTGCTGTAGTTGTCATCTTCCTGAAATGGTTTCCTACAGAAAGGTAAGTCTGGAGAATAGAATTCAACACAAATGATGTGCAAATGACAACAAAACTTGTGAGACATGACATCTGCTGATATTCTGAGGGTAAATTAAGAGCCACTCATACAACTTTATAGTTTCAAACTTCAGTACTGTTTGCTATCAGTAGAATTCATGATCCTATAGACTGGAATCCCATGGCAGAGAAAATCAATCA